CCAAATCTGGGAATTTCAATCCCAAATCCAGGAATTTTCAACCGCAAATCCCCAAATTCCCATCCCAAATCCCAAAACTCCTGAACCCAAATCCCAAATTCCTGATCCTAAATCCCAAAATTCCCGATCCCAAATCCCCAAAATCCTCATCCCAAACCCCAAACCCGAAATCCCAAATTTCCCATCCCAAATTCCCAAAATTCCATCCCAAAATCCCGAAATTCTGGATCATTAATTCCCCAAACTCCTGATCCCAAAATACCAACCAAAATCGCATCCAAAATCCCAAATCCCCAAATCCCCAAAATTCCCGACCCTAAATCCCCAAATTCCTGATCCAAAATTCCCAAAATTCCCAAATCCCAAAATTCCCGATCCCAAATTCCCCAAATCCCAAAAACCTGATCCCAAATCCATCCCGTTCCCACATTCCCGGGCCTTGGAGCCCTTGGAGGTGGGAACCCCAAATTCCCAAATTTCCCACCCCAAAATTCCCAAAATCCCAAAATTCCCATTCCAAATCCTCAAAATTCTGATCCTAAATCACCAAAATCCCAAACTTCCTGCTCCTAAATCCCCAAATTCCTGATCCTAAATCCCCAAATTCCCAAAATTCCTGGTCCTATACTCAAAATTCCCGATCCTAAATCCCCAAATTCCTGATCCAAAATTCCCAAAATTCCATCCCAAATTCCCAAAATCTCAAAATCGTGATCCCAAATCCATCCCCATTCCCCCATTCCCGGGCCTTGGAGCCCCTGGAGGTGGGAACCCCACATTCCCAAATTTCCCATCCCAAAATCCCAAAATTCCATTCCAAATTCCCAAAATCCTGAAATTCCCATTCTAAATCCCTAAAATTCTGATCTTAAATCACCAAAATCCAAAATTCCCGCTCCTAAATCCCGAAATTACCGATCCCAAACCACCAAAATCCCAAAATTCCTGATCCTCAATCCCCAAATCCCCAAAATACCAAAATTCCCAATCCCAAATCCCCAAAATCCCAAAATCGGGATCCCAAATCCATCCCTGTTCCCAAAATCCCAAAATCCCAAGATTCACATTCTAAATCCTTAAAATTCTGATCCTAAATCACCAAAATCCCAAATTCCCGCTCCTAAATTCCCAAACTCCTGATCCCAAACCACCAAAATCCCATCCAAAATCCCAAATCCCTAAATCCCCAAAATTCCCGATCCTAAATCCCAAATTCCTGATCCAAAATTCCCAAAATTCCCATAATTCCCATCCCAAATTCTTGATCTCAAATCCCCAAATTCCCGATCCCAAATCCCCAAATTCTCGAAATTCCCAAAATTCCGAAATTCCCGATCCCAAACCACCAAAATCCCATCCAAAATCCCAAATCCCCAAATCCCCAAAATTCCCGATCCTAAATCCCAAATTCCTGATCCAAAATTCCCAAAATTACATCCCAAATTCCCAAAATCCCAAAATCCTGATCCTAAATCCATCCCTGTACCACATTCCCAGGCCTTGGAGCCCCTGGAGGTGGGAACTCCACATTCCCAAATTTCCATCCCAAAATCCCAAAATCCCAAATCCCCAAATTCCCCAACTGGTCTGGACTGGTTTGAACTGGTTTGGACTGGTTTAAACTGGTTTGAATTGGTTTGGACTGGTTTGAACTGGTTTGGACTGGTTTGAACCGGTTTGGACTGGTTTGAACCGGTCTGGATTGGTTTGAACTGGTTTGAACTGGTTTGAACCGGTCTGGACTGGTTTGAACTGGTCTGAACTGGTTTGAACCGGTTTGAACTGGTTTGAACTGGTTTGGACTGGTTTGGACTGGTTTGGACTGGTTTGAACTGGTTAGAACTGGTTTGGACTGGTTTGAACTGGTTAGAACTGGTTTGGACTGGTTTGAACGGGTTTGGACTGGTTTGAACCGGTCTGAACTGGTTTGAACCGGTCTGGACTGGTCTGAACTGGTTTGAACTGGTTTGAACCGGTTTGGACTGGTTTGGACTGGTCTGGACTGGTTTGAACCTGTCTGGACTGGTTTGGACTGGTTTGAACCGGTCTGGACTGGTTTGAACTGGTTTGGACTGGTCTGAACTGGTTTGAACCGGTCTGGACTGGTTTGGACTGGTTTGAACCGGTCTGGACCGGTTTGGACAGGTTTGAACCGGTCTGGACTGGTTTGAACTGGTTTGAACTGGTTTGAACCGGTTTGGACTGGTTTGGACTGGTTTGAACCGGTCTGGACTGGTTTGAACTGGTTTGAACTGGTCTGAACTGGTTTGAACCGGTCTGGACTGGTTTGGACTGGTTTGAACTGGTCTGGACTGGTTTGGACTGGTTTGAACTGGTTTGAACTGGTCTGAACTGGTTTGAACCGGTCTGGACTGGTCTGAACTGGTTTGAACTGGTTTGAACCGGTCTGGACTGGTTTGAACTGGTTTGAACTGGTTTGGACTGGTCTGAACTGGTTTGAACCGGTCTGGACTAGTTTGAAATGGTTTGACCTGGTTTGAACTGGTTTGAACTTGTTTGAACCGGTTTGAACTGGTTTGAACTGGTTTGGACTGGTCTGGACTGGTTTGAACCTGTCTGGACTGGTTTGGACTGGTTTGAACCGGTCTGGACTGGTTTGAACTGGTTTGGACTGGTCTGAACTGGTTTGAACCGGTCTGGACTGGTTTGGACTGGTTTGAACTGGTTTGGACTGGTTTGGACTGGTTTGAACCGGTCTGGACTGGTTCAAACTGGTTTGAACTGGTTTGGACTGGTTTGAACCGGTCTGGACTGGTTTGAACTGGTTTGGACTGGTTTGAACCGGTCTGGACTGGTTTGAACTGGTCTGAACTGGTTTGAACCGGTCTGGACTGGTTTGAACTGGTTTGAACCAGTTTGGACTGGTTTGAACTGGTTTGAACCGGTTTGAACTGGTTTGAACCGGTCTGGACTGGTTTGGACTGGTTTGAACTGGTTTGAATTGGTGTGGACTGGTTTGAACTGGTTTGAACCGGTCTGGACTGGTTTGAACTGGTTTGAACCAGTTTGGACTGGTTTGAACTGGTTTGAACTGGTTTGGACTGGTTTGAACTGCTTTGGCTGGTTTGAACCGGTCTGGACTGGTTTGAACTGGTTTGAACCGGTCTGGACTGGTTTGAACTGGTTTGAACTGGTCTGGACTGGTTTGAACTGGTTTGAACTGGTTTGGACTGGTTTGAACTGCTTTGGCTGGTTTGAACCGGTCTGGACTGGTTTGAACTGGTTTGAACCGGTCTGGACTGGTTTGAACTGGTTTGAACCGGTTTGGACTGGTTTGAACCGGTTTGGACTGGTTTGAACTGGTTTGGACTGGTTTGAACTGGTTTGAACTGGTTTGAACTGGTCTGGACTGGTTTGAACCGGTCTGGACTGGTTTGAACTGGTTTGGACTGGTTTGAACCGGTTTGAACTGGTCTGGACCGGTGTGAACCGGTCTGGACCGGTTTGAACTGGTTTAGACTGGTTTGAACTGGTTCGGACTGGTTTGAACTGGTTTGGACTGGTTTGGACTGGGTTGAACTGGTTTGGACTGGTCTGAAGTGGTTTTACTGGTTTGAGCTGGGAATGGCTGCCATGAACACAGAGACAATCAATGCCCGTGCTGTTTGATTCCAGTGCCAGCTCTGCCAATGCCAATGGCACTGCAATACCCTGTTACTGTGATCTAAGGCCCAGCGCTGTGCTGACCCCAGCAGAAGCTCCTTGCTGACTCTGCCAGGTACCGTGGCTGCAGCAGCAGTTCCACACACGATTACTCCTTTTGGCATGTGACCATTGCTGAAGGACATTGTCAAAAGCAGAGTTTTTTGGTTTTTTGTTTTTTGTTTTTTTTTTTCCTACTTACAGTTTGATAGGCTTTTATTTTATTCTGCAGCTGTTAAAGTGTAGGGTATTAAAATTAAGTCTGGGAGTACTGGAAAAATCCTGTACAGTGAGCTGTGCCCCAGTGCCTGAGGTCTCGTTTTGAGGTAGATCTGTTATCAGACATGAAACTGGAAATAGCAGCTCTCACTTGATGGGCTTTGCTTTGGTAGAGGAACAAAGGTACTAAGAATCTGTAGCTGATAGTCATTGCTATTTTTATATCAAAGCTTCCTTATCTACTTGGCAAGTGATTCAGGGATTTTCTCTCTCTCCTAGGTGCCTCTGCAATATGTTTGTTGTAATCTCTCATATATCCTCATTATGCTTTTTGCTCCTCATTAATAAGAAATGAAGAAGTCAGGTTGCGTTAGTTCTCTTATCTTATCCATCTCTTTTAAGAATTCCTCCCCAAAAAGTTAAATGCCCTCTTTTCACTTGACTTTCTCATTTCCCTTTCCTATGAGCTTTTCTTCTCCATTATGTGCTCACAATATCTCTGCTCTGTGACCTGAATTGACCTCCCCAAAGCTTTTAACAAAATGATTAAATACAGAATTTTTAGCTTTCATATGTGCATTGCACACACCAGCATTATTCTTATGTGTATAAATATACTTCTGCTTAGTTTTTAATCCTTTCCTATACCAAAGGAAAAATAAAAGGAGTGATGGCATGTTTTTTGGTAATGTACAACTGTATTTCAAGTAACTCTGACATAATTTCAGAAAAAAAAAAAAGTTACCAAATGGGAGAATCGCACCTCTGTAGTCCTTCCCAATACTAAGAACCAGGCCATGCAAAACTGACACAGTGGAGGTCTGCTTTGCTGGGGCAAAAGTCCTAAAGTCTCTGAAACACCACTGGGTTTATTGCTCTATCATGCTAAAGATACCAGGGAATTTTGGTAAAGTGCTGATGCAAAATACTATGGGATGGCTGCCGTAGATGCTATACATTTTACTCCTTGCCTACAGTATCACTCTTTGAGTCCCATTTCACAGACCCTAAAGGGGAGGTAAGGAATGCTGCAATCTCCACCATCTAGAAAAATGGCTGCTGTATGATAGAAAACCAGCAACTTGTCTCAAAGAATATTCCATAATCCACTGACCTGTGGGTGTCTGGGGTGCCAAAAGATGAGGAGGCATGGCTGCACAGGGCGCTGGTCATCGCAGGAGCTCCCCAAGACCCAGAGGAAATGAAAATGCTGCTCAGAGCAGGAGCTGAATGTCCTTTCATCTGCTGGCATTGGAGAGACCAACCTGCAAGTGAAAAAGGCACATTGACAGCTGGAAGCCTTTTGCTCAGTGCCTCCATTTTGCTAAAGCAATTCCTTAACAACATACAGTTCCTGGATTCCTTTTTATGGGCTAAGTTATGAGCATTGTGTTGGTATGCTCCCTGCTCTTTGTGAGCAGGAATATAAACCAAAGTGCTGCTTCTGAGCCTGTGCCCTTAGTGAATCAGATTTTTACATCAGTTCTCTACCTATTCACTTTCAGGTCTTTTTTTTTTTTTTTTTTTAAGAGTATTTTGCTACAGCTCACGCTAAAAAATTCTCAGTTCCATTGCCGGTGCTTCGGCATAGCCTCCAGGCTCCTGTAGTGAATTGTGTCTGATGCAGCTTCAATCCACAATATATCTCCTATTTCCCTACAGTTGCTCTCCATTTTCTTTTAAACTGTGAGCCAAAAATCACAATTCTTGGAAGGACTTTTACACCTATACTAAAAAGTATGCTTTTACCAGGGATTTCTGCCTGCATGTGCTGTGAAAGACAGTGAAAAAGGGGACAGGGAAGCATGGTGGGAATTTTCTCCTCCTTTTGAAGCCCTGCATGAATGTGCTGCTTTGGAGGGACAGTGCTGCCCAGTGCTGAGGGTGTGTTGGGTTGGATGGGTGTGTGCGTGTCTGCATGCAAACAAAGGTGCTCCCCTTCCCTCAGCACCTGTCTAGTAAGGGACACAGCCACTGCCATTGTCACTGCCATCAGATAATTTTTACACAAGATGCAGCTAGGGGAAGGGCAAAGCCACATTATCTATGTAGGCTGTGCTTCCATCACAGTTTTGTAGTTGCTTCAAGTTGCATAAGCATGCAATCTCATTTAAATCCTGGATACTAATCCACGTGTACTGCTTCTGAAGACACTACTGCTGCCTTTTACTGTGTCATAAATTTGCACTTATCTTAAAATAGAAATTCAAATTTTGTTCTAAACACCTTTGTAGGTGTTAGAATTGGTGTTTTAGATACCAATTCATCCAGTATTGGAACGTCTGCCTCTCCTAACAAGAGTGTTTTGAGGATCATGAGCCACTTGAAGGGATTTGTGGGGGGTGTGTGGTGCTTCTGAGTGTGCAAAATTACATGAGATAGATTTGGGGCAGCATTTCCTTTTTACTTCCTGGACCCACAACACTTTGTTATCCTGTTTGCTGCCTTCAAGACTTGCACTGAGTAACTCTCTGGAGTGAAAGCTGGTGTTGGGGGAGAGAATAGCAAGCTGGGGCACTCTTAACACTTATGGGTCTAAGGCTGCCTTCTAAAGTTGAGAATTTTTATTTCCCAAGACTTTTCTGGATGGTTCTCAGCTAGGGCCATGATTGTTTGGCAGTGAAGACCCAAACTCTGCAAAAGGAGACTCACACCCAGAGCTTGTGTTCCCTCTGTTTGTCCAAAAGGAAGAGAATAGCCAAAACGATTGTTTTGAAGTATATAGGATTATTACTACTCTGCTGAGCTTGACAGGCCATTTCCTTCCATGTAAATATAAACACTGGTCATAAATGGAAAAAGATGCAAGAACTACAGATTAGGAACATAAATTGTTAACTTGTTGGGCTTCATGTCCCCACTCTCCAACAGAGAAGGAAGGGCCAAATCATGGATGTGAACAAAGTAAATGTCAAGTAAAGGGAGAAAAATGAGTGTATGAATATTTGCATATGTACAGGAGAGAAAATCTTGGGCAATTTTCTTATGGCATTTCTTTGCTCTTGAGATGAATTTTAAATAACAGGAAATAATTCTTCTAGGGTTTTCCATAAATGATGATTTATATAATTTTGCCTCAAGGCAATTCCTATGATATATAGATAAAAATATATCAATATTTGTGCAGATACATCCGCTATGGATGAGTCATATTTCTTCAATTAAAAATGTATTCTTGATGCAAACATTTCTAAAAGTTGTCATGTTCCCCCATTCATCTCCTGTTGCATTTTCCAGTTTTCCTACACGTAAAAGGTTATTTTTATTAAAATAAAATGTTTGCAAATGTCCTGGAGATTTTTGTTAAGTAATTAAGAGACAGTAATAAATTAATGTATTTTTATAGAATTCCATGAATTGTGTTGACATTGCAATCCTGTAGACTTAGTTCTAAATGAAGCAACAAGTCTGGCAGGGGATTGTAATTTGCAAATGAGTTGTAGAAGTTAGTCCCAGCCATGTGCAGTGACACTGTCTTCTGGAATACAGCAAGTCCCAGTTGCAGATTTGTTGATCTGCACCCTTTCCTTCAGAGTGGGATTTGTGTAAGGAAGAGCAATTCCATTCATAACACAGTGCACCTATTCCAGCTTCCCATTTCCATACATCTGTGCTATTGCAAGCAAATCTGCTGCTCCTCTTTAGTGGGATACACAGCCAGTCTTGGATGAAACAATGCCTTACAAAAATCTGGCAGCAATCTGTAAATATACTTTTAATGCCCTAAATAGAAAGAGCACAGCATTCAATTCTACAGCTAAATATAAGAGTAGGATAATCAGTGGCCCTCATCTTTGGCATTTGTTTGTATTTTTTGCCCATTGTTCTTAAAGCACATTCTTGTATTTTCTTGACTTTCTGTATGCTTTAAAATTAGGTACATTATAATTCAAACCCAGAAAAACACAAGCTGACCTGGACCAAAGAATAATAAATTTCTAAGGATTTCTTGAGCTCATATCAATTTCCTTAAATGAATGCATAACATAAACAGAGAGGTTAAAAAGCATTACACATTTTGATAACAAGAGTCTGGATGTTGTACAACCTTTTTTTGCTGGTGTTCTCAAGTCACTTAGGAAAATTTTTATTCACCAAAATTGGGTTTTCCATCAGGAATATTTTTGTTTATTTGAAAATAAATCTTGGGGAAGCTGATGAGAAGCCTACATACTATCCCAGAAAATAAAAAGATAAATCTTTGGAAATATTCAAATTTTAGTATTTCATACAAAGCTGTTTTGTGAACAGACTGCATTCTGTCTTTCTGTTTCCCTTTTTATAGATCACCATATTATGTGATCTATAAAACTGTGTAGAGTTAAAACATTTATTTCTCACTCTTGTGTGATAAATAAAAGAGCCAGCTTCTTATTTTCATTAATTCTGCTTCCTCAGTAATTTCCAACTGTTACTTAATGAGTGCGATCAAATAATTTCTGTGACATTATTTAGGTCATTTTAAGCCACATTTTAAGCCATAGCTCAGGGTAATTTTGAACTCAGAAGTCATACCAGTCAGATGAATGCTGAAAGGATTGGCTCCCTCAGAGGTGATCCCCGTTGTCAGCAGAGTCCCTGTCAAAGAGAACAGAGCCCAGCTGGCCACACCAGCTCCTTGCTAAACTAAAGAGTAAAGTAAGGATCATGCAAAAGGAGTGAAACTCTGGTAGAAATAAAGTAAAACAGAATTAAACCCTCCTAAGCTTCTGCTTGTTTTTGGGGAATTTTACTCTCTGTGACTTGTTACTCTGCCAGCTCTAAGTGAGGGTGGTGCTGCCTCCTTCCCAGCTGTGCCGCTGGAGCAGACACAGGCTGCAGAAAGCTCCTGGCCAGCCCTGGCTGCCAGGACCAGCGGTCTGTGCTCTGCTCCCAGGTCCTCACCCATCCATCAGGTGGTGTCTGAAGGGAAGGGCTTTACAGAGTTTTGGGAAGGACTCATTGGAAGGAACGAGGTGTTCAGTTTTCAAAGGATGGTGTTTGTGACTTGTAAAGTTTCTTACTGTTACAGATAATTATGAGTTTGAGTTTCTTTTCTTTCAAAGGTAACAGAAGAAGAGCTAAAATACACTATAAATTGAAGTAAGGAGCAGGTCTCCAGGTTCCTTATAGGATAGGTATTGCTGTTGTGCGTGGGGTAGAATGCATTGTACTTTCCCTGTTCTTGTTCCATGAGCCTTCAGTGATGAACAGACATAGATCTTGAAACTATTGCATTTGCTTCACTAAAGCTGGATGTAGTGATATCAGAAATGGGTTCTGCAGGCTGTTGAAGAGATTCTTCATTTAAACTGGCAGTCACATTGGGAAGCAGCTGTTGGCTGTAGGTAGATAATTTTAAAGTATTTTTGAAAAAGGTAGAGGATAATTCTAAATTTCTATAGCACAAGCCAAGATAATTCCCTGAGCAGTCTAACCAAGAAAATTGCACAGGTTCTTGACACAATGCTACCAGATTTGATATAGCTTTTCTCTGGGATCCCTTGTACGGGAGAATTAAAGAAAATGTAATGAATTCTGTGTGGGTATTGTAATTGGCATGCAGGGTGTGAAGGAAAAAAAAAATGGAATATGTTTAGTTACAGTCTCAGGAAATAGTAAAACCTCCCTGGTTTATAGAGCCTGTAAAGGTGCTCTACTGCAGCTGGCCATCGTAATGATAAAATACATTTTATGTGATCACAAGCAAGTTCTCCCTGTGTGTTGAGCAAATCCCTCTGAGCTTCTACCTTATAGATATAGTTGTATTTATCTACATTAAAGGTTGCTCGGAGACTTTGAGGTCTTTGTGTGAAACTCCTTATTGTAGGAAGTCAAAATAGTATTATGCAATCTTAAGAATAAAACCTAACTTCCAGCTCCCAGTTACTAGCAGAGAGAACTTTACCCAGGTGAGTGACACTGAGGTGTTGTGAATACAATTTTGCTGATAGAGTAAATAAGCTACCACCTCTGTGGATTAAGAAAGATTTAAACAAGTAAAGTGCCAGCTTCTCCTATTCCAGTGGGTTTAGCATGAAAGCTGAAGCTGCTCCCCTCCTTTCAGGAAAGCCAAAGTATATTATATAGTGTGTTTTGAGTAACGATTATTAACAGCTTTGGCAAATAAAAATAGGGTACCCCTAATTTGGTATGAAACATATTTCAAGTAAATACTAATCTTTATTTAGGCTTTCTTATACAAGTCTACTTCTTGTATGTGATTAAGACACAGAATTTTCAAAAATTAATATTAAAATAGCTGTATGTTTTGGGATAATAAATT